ATTTCTTTATTTCTATTTTAAAATCCTGCCAGGCCATTGCTGGGAGATTCAAGCTGAGGAAGAACCTACTTCCTCCCCTTTTTGGTGCGTCTGATCTTAGCATGAGTTTCACAGCTGAACTCCATGGAATGCTGATTTCACCTCTACCTACAATACAAATTTATTCCACCTTCCAAGTCCTCGCAGAGGCTCAGCAGCAGCTTCGGCTTCTCTCAGGGCAGCTTTTCCTCAGAGCTGTCTCCATCTCCTGGGTGCTCCCCTGGCACATACATCCCTCTTCCCAATGCATAACAACTGCAGGGTACAGCCATCATTTCTCTTGTTTAGCATTCTCCCTGTATCACCTTTCTTACAGCTGTTCTGCCACAGCAATATTTGTAAAAGTATAATAACCTAAAAGGTGGCATTTGGATAACAGAGGCATTTCACAAGAACTTGTCTTCAATTTAGCTACATGTATTTGTGTCTCAGAGGAAAACAGCATTCCTCATACCTTGCTTTTCAACATTTTTCTAAATTAATAAGTCTCAAAGTAGAGCAGCAGCAGATAAATTTACTTATTAGACAGCAGCTGCCAAAAATTGCCACTAACAGGTGTGTGCAGGACATATTTCTTCACAGTAAAGAAGAAGTTCAATCTCCAAATGATTTCATTTGTCACCAAGACAGAATTTCTTTATTCTAAATATGTGTTGATAAAGTTTCCTGACAAATTTTACCTTAGTGGTGTATTAAAAAAAAATAAAAATAAAAATCTCTTGTTTAATGGGCTGTTCTAAGGGCAGACTACAATTTCCAGATGATATCTCAAATAATACAAAATATATTCCAATTATCTGCACATCTTTCTGAAAGCCTGCATACCTCTTCCCATTTTTTTTACCGACTTTTCCTTCTTGGCCAGTGTCATCCTTACAGACCATGCAGGACCTCTCACCTGTTTTGCTCCAAAACTAATCACTGCCCATTCTCTGAAGTGGGAACTCAGGTGCCAGTCCCCAATTTGAAGGTTTTTCAAGGGTGAGAGAAAGCTGAGCATGTGGTGAGATGACAGGATACAGGATTCAGGTTGGGTCTGGCCAGACCATCTAGCAGCATGAAAGAATATTGTCAGCTGCTCTGGCTTGCTCTGAATTTCTTTGTTTTGAAGACATCAGCAGAAATCACACAGTGATTCCTCAGTGTGAGTTTACAGAGAGAACGTGATGCCTACACTGAGAAAACCAAAGTGAATTTAAGTCATCCACTGAGAAACTGATAGACTTTGAGTGAAACCTGAAAGCCTGGTGGAGTTTGGTGGTGGCAGAGACCTGCCAGCTGTGCTGACCCTGCTCCCCTTGCACATCACTGCTCTGTGCCACCAAACAGCCTTCCCCCAGACAAGATTCCAGGGACGAGCCTGATGTATCCTGCAAACACTGCTCCTGCCTGCTGGAGGTGGACTTGATCCAGAACAGGGAGAATATTCTGCATTCTCCTCAGCGCTACCTATGTGGATGTGGGGATGTTAGAAACAGGAGCCAAGTGTCTGTGGGAATATCAGCTGGTACCAGGAGCTGACTGCAGACAGAAAGAGCAAGAATAAGCAGGAAGGTGAGAGCATAAAAATCTACAACTGCAGTGCAACAGCAGCCTGAGGTCACAACAGGCACTATCATTTTCTGGCAGGAGAGAAAGAGTAAATCGATGTTTCATTCTGATCTGATGGCTGGCTGACACCTATGGCACCCTGCCACAGGTGGCTCACACGACAGCCTCCTGCAGTATATCTTCCACACTTAGGAACATCACAAGAAGCAGAACAGTTTCCACAAGATGTATTGTGTTTGTGCTTTCAGAGGACTCTAGAACTTTGCAATAAAACAAAACAAAGCAAACCCAAACCAACACCCCAACATACAGGTTGTTGAGGTCTCAGAAGAAAGGAAATTCCACAATTGGCTTCAACAGGACAACCTTAATTTTGTTTCTTTTTAACTTTTTATATACAGACTGTCTTAAATGCAGGAGAAAACATTAGACACTTTTAAAACAAAATACCTAGAAATATGACATACATAAGGAATCTGTGTGGGTGGATTTGGGTGTTTGGTTTTGTTTTTCAAACACAATATCATGTAACCCTTATACTGTGTCTGTATACTTCAAACTGCACTCATTTGTCCCAGAAGATGCTTACCTGGGAACCTTGCATTTCAACTATATAAACAAATCCATTAGTTTACAGGCTGTAAATACACCCCAGAAGGCACACTGATTTCCTTGGCACTGCCCCTCAATCCAAATCTATAAATGGACCCCCAGCCAACTAACTCACTCTAATGCCAACCAAGGCGTAATTCAGATGTGCTCCAAGTACTTGTTCTGCTTTCCTTGCCAACCAGCAGCAGGGACAGAAACTGCCCTAAAAGCAGGCAGTGGTCCCTGGATCCTTTAGCCTGACCCTCAGGCAGGAGAGCAGGGATGCATCAGTAAACCTGTGCTTCTGACAAGGTAAATTGTGAGCAAGCCGATGTGAAATTGCCAGGGACGAGTCACCTGCTGGTTATGACAAATTTTGTTTGCTCTGTTATTGCAGGCAATATAAAACCAGGGCATTGCACTTCTTCTGCACTTACATCCAGTGCAGAGAGGGATTTCTTACTGGAGGGACATGTGCCTCCAGTATCACTTCTTCAGTATTTATCCCTGGCTCCATTCACTTTTCTGCTTGTAGCCCACACCCAGAAATGAAACACTGGCTCTTTTATAAATAAAAAGTGGATTTTTTTCAACTCAGTTACTGTGCATATTCACAATAGAAACTTTAGAAATGAAAGGCCCCATAAATTTTGCCTCGAAGACACTGTCTAAGTACAGATCTGGATGTTACAACCCTGGGTTTTGTCAGAAATTTTCAATGTAAGACCATTTATGTTTTAATATACCAAATGGACATGCCTACATGTTGGATTTATTCTGGATAGATCATCCAAGAGAAGCAAGGTGGCATCAATTTTTTGCCAGAAATCAGTGGTTGTATAACACTTCAAGTTTACCCCTTAAACTTACAAAATCAATTGCCACTAATCTGTACTTAGGAGTCCATTTAAACAGGTAATACAAGTGCTAATTTTCCATAAACTCTGGTAATGTTTATTAATGAAAGAGACAATCTAGTATCAATTAGGAAATGTTCAGCAGCTAGTTAATAATAGACAAAATAATCTCCTTTGGCTTCTCATCTGTCTCTGCAAATGTTTAACAATGAAGGTATCCAAGCTCAAGCAGCCTAATTAAGGAGGCTTTTTCTCCTTATATACCTTTCTGTCCTTGAATGTTTAGCTCCTATAGATAAAAAGCTGAAACTTAGGAAGGTAAAGCCTAACTACACATTTCCTTTCACTTCTGCACAGTCACAATATGTTGTTAGGAGCTACATAATGACAAAAGCATCTCCAGTGCAGGGGGGCACCAGGACACACAGCCCTTGCTGTGCTGGAGATGCCATTCCTTCTTGATCAGCATCTATACCTTGACTCATGCCTGCTGTACCGCAGGAGTGTCACCCATTCTGATGGCACCCCTCTATTTTCTCATTTTCTCTTTTCCAGATCTACCCCTGCACAGTCCAGGCTGGGTTAGCACTCTCTCTTACACAAACTGTGAGGAATTGCAGCTCAAGAGGATGCAGGAACCCTGATGACACATGCCAAGGTCAGCCTGGTGCACGTCCAGGATTAGCAGGTTGGGCAGGCAGTGTTTTCCCTCGCTCCCTAGCAGCTCTGCACTAACACAGCCTCCAGATCAGTTCTCAAGCACTGGGAAAACTGAAGTCGCTGCTTGGGGCTGCAAGAGACTCCACAGCATTCCTTCAGTTGCCTGTTTCTGCTCAGCAAGGAGCTGCCCAGAGAGAGGCTCCAGACCTTTAAGCAGAATCCTTTCTCTCCAGGAGACCCACCCTCTCTGTCCCTGCTGCCTCTCACTCACATTTCAGTTCATTATCCAGCTCTTTCACAGCAAGACTTTGGAGAACCACCCCTCCTTCAAGACATGTTTCATTGAAATTTGCTGTAATTTACTCATACCATGGGAGGAACAGTATTTCACTACAGCTGTTTTCAAAAATTAAGTGAATTACGAGAAATACTAATGAATTAATGTAATAACAATATGTTATATTGTACACATTATTTATATCATATTGTAGCATAATACATATAATCAACATTCTTCTCTGGTGATCAGTGAGAGGACCTGAGAGAATGGCATGAAGCTGTGCCAGGGGAGATTTAGGTTGGATATTTGGAGAAGGTTTTTCACCCAGAGGGTGGCTGGGCACTGGAACAGGCTCCCCAGGGCAGTGTCACAGCACCAAGCCTGATATAGTCCAAGAAAATTTTGGACAATAATCTTGGGCACATGGAGTGACTCTTGGGGCTGTCATGTGAAGGGTCAGGACTTGAACTTTGATGATCCTTGTGGATCCCTTTCAACTCAGGATAGTCTATGATTCTGTGAACTACTGAGCTCTGTTCTTCTCCCTTCCCTCAACTCCATAGCACTGAGGTCTGCTTTTCTTTAGGGTCCTTCCCTCAGGCTCACATGTCATGGAGATTAGCAGACAATGCAGAACTGTCTGAGAGCATTTCAGCAGGAAACAGTGTCAAATTAGCCAAGTTAACATGATAGATTGTGATAAATTGAATGCCTGGGGTGATATGTGCTTCAACTGCTTGGTGCTGTGCATCACAGCAAATGTATTTCCTAAAAACCCCTAACTGGGAAATTTCAACCATATAAAAATGCTACTAAATATGCCTTTGCTTGTTGTCAGACACTTTCTTCTCCTTCTCAGCAGCTATAAAACATATGGTTTACACTTCTAAGAGCCTCTGTAAATCATGCTGTAATACCTGTGGGTTATACTTAGCCATAGACACGTCTTCAGCTGATGTCAATTGTTGAAACAGCCCTGACGTCAGAGCTGAGATTATTTACAGCAGCTGAGCAGCTGTGCTCAGCACTTACCAAGGCAGGCAAATGAGAAGGGATTTGGGTTCAGGGGGACTTTAAAGTTTGGAGAAGTTAAAGCCAGGCAATGACTCAAATCTGGTCCTTATCTGTTTGAGAGCAGATCTGTAGATAGGAACCTGGTAATCTTTACTCTCCTGCTTGCTGGCCCTGCTGCCCTTTACCTTATACAGCACAAACCTAAAGAAACATCTCTGAAACAACATGAATACATATAAAAATAAAATTTTAGAGGTGTTTACCATTTGTCTCACCCTCTAAAAGGAGGATGACAAACACCTTTCATAGGAGCAGTAACAACAATGCTGACTCTTACAAGCTTCTCTACACAGGCAGGAAAGGGATCGCTTGAAGCAGCACCTCCACACTACAATTCACCCACCAGAGAAGAGAAACTTCATCCACCTATCTCCAAGGATGGTCAGAAATGTCTCCTGGACTGTAACCACAGCAGGATTCCAGGCCTTCTCTCAGGGTAGGTTTAGTAGGAGACTTCTTTTCAAAGGAGGGACACAGCAGTTAAATGTGTGCTACAGCCTAGGGGTAAACCTCTTTCAGCTGGGAGGGTTTCCCAAGCCACTTCTTAAGCAAATTTCCAGGCAGCCCTCACAATATTCTAAGTTATGTATTGCTACACTGCATATAAACCTCACAATCAAGGTTTTTGCAACTTCCACACCATAATTTTATAGTAGCACAATGTAATAAAGAGTCAGGAAAAATAAAGTAAAGCACACCATAACTGTCTAAATAGGAAAGTAACCTCAACCTTTTCTACCTGCAGGAAGCTGTAGAGCTCACAGGGTTAAAAAATACTTTTCAGTCAATCTCATTATGCATCCCACACACTAGAACTTATCTGACATGAAAGGGAATAGATGGATATAAATATAGTACATGAAGAGCAGCATTAACTTTAGTACAGACAAATTATGTTAAAGACTGTCAACATTTAGTCTGGCACAACTGCTACACTTCTGCAACATTTGGGGGAAGAAAAGAGGGACTCAGGATGGTTTCATTTGTCTCCTTTCAATGGGTCATTCAAAACTGAGTCCTGTGTTAGCCCACCATAGGCTTGGGGAGCCTCAGTGGAAAGATTTTATTTCTGAAGGCACTTGTGAGAGCAGCTTCGTGGGCTCTGCATGGGGAAGAGGCAGCACTTTGTGGAGCTCCTTGTGGGAGTGTAATGGCTCATCTGGGAGATGCTTGTACTGCAGCACCCACCAGGGATAGCAGCTCCTCCTCACGTAGCCCGGCTTTCTGAAGGTGTTCGCAATGCAGGGGCTTCTTCTTTTTGTTTCTGTTGTAACAATCCTGAAAGCTTAACAATTCCTTTCATTTAAAGGAGGGAAATCAAAAAGAGAGCCAGAAAACCCAATTTCCTTTTTATTTTTAGTGCCACTTAATGTGCATCCTGCTAAGCCAACAATCATCCCAGCATGAGATGACTAGAAGCAGCAGCAGGTAGCTTCCTGGCTAGCTGGCAGGGATCAAAGTGGATAAAAGAGAAATAAGACTAGGTTTGCCATGCAGAGTAAACCCAAGCAGGGGATTTTACTTGTGCCCTCCACCCACATTACAAAGAGCTTCCTTTTATTTTATGGCAGGCCCCCTTAGCTCAAGATATAAAACCCCAATGGCTCCCTGAAAGATTTCACAAGACCAAATAACTGCTGTGAAACCACCTCTGGTTCCAGGGCCTGCCTCCTCTGCCTCATCTCTGCTTGTTACAGACCCATTTCAGCGTCACCTGGGGGAAGCAGCAGGAGCAGCTTCTCCCAGAAGGGAGCAGAAGTGGAGCTTTGCAGTGAAGGCCCTGTACCCCACAGAGATGCTCCCAGGTTTGACTCACATCTGCTGGCTGGCTTAGCTGGACCTGCTCACTGACATGCAGGGCAAAGGGTTTAGTACCCAATGCTCAAACACTGCCATGAAACTTCTTTTATAGACACCTGCCCTGTGGAAGAAAAATGTGCTCTATTTGCTGCATAGAGATGCATCAGATTTGAAACTCCAAGGTCAGATCTCTGCTTGAAGACAGGCATATACATATATGGAAAAGCAATAGGGGGAAAAAATTATTCAAAGGGAGCATTTATTTCAACAGCAACATTTTCATGTAAATGCCTTAGTACCCAAATCCACATGGAGAGCTCCATGTTGGGTATAGGACTTTGGAGAAATAAAAACTTAATCACTTTTTAATCCAGAACAGTGATGCTGCTCCCAGGACAAACTCTCTCCCTGCTAACTCGGGTGAGGGCACAGGAGACAGACATGACTAAAGGAGGCAGGCAGGACTCCCATCTCCTGCCAGGAAAACCATCACACAACACTCTTCCTTTTCCATATCTAGCCTGCCATACTCTCTGCCATACATTCATCACAGATTTCTAGCAAGCTGGTATTTAAATACTGTCCAACAGCCCATTCACAAGTAAAATGCATATTTGGCCTCATTTTTATTATTAGGGGAGATAATCTTGGGCTTTGGGAAAAAAAAAACAAGGCTCTATACAGAGAGTCTTTAAAGGGCCCACAGCCTCCCCCCAGAGTTTATGGCTTCTGCTATGCAGTCACTCATCACAGGCACAAAACAAGTGTAATAGCATGAAAAAATTCTGGGACAAGGGCAGCAGTATCTCAAAAATCTGAGCTCCTTAGTGTTGAACCAGCAGAAAGTTACAATCATGCATTTATTTGATTTTTTTTTTTAGTGCAAGAGGACAGTCTCCAGACACAAAATTAAATCTTTTCCTTGACAACTTGTACCCAGGGATCAAACACAACAACAGAAATCACACTTGGAAGTGAACTTACAAATCACAGCAATTCCTACAGAAACACACACAGGTTTGAGGTCTGCCAAGGAACCTGGCAGAGAGCAGGTGCCAGGACACCAAAGCATACCCTGCATTTTGGTTATAGAAGAGTACTCATGGCTTTGCACCTACCTTAGAGGACACAAGCAGCAGAAAGGTGCCTGCTCTTCCCCAAGGAGTTAAAAAAGCTCAGAAGTGTCTCCTGGGAAGGCCATCAGGCACATGCTATCAATCAACAGCATCTCCAGTTCCATAACACTTTGCTTAACGAGATTAGGTTCATTACAACCACTTTGACTGGTTTGCTAACTCTCTCCCTGTGGAAAAGCAGCTGCCTGCTCTGCCAGGAGCTAGGCATGGGACTGCAGCTATCCAGGCAGGATTTCCAGCCCTTGGTGATGGTATCACTCACCTCTCAGTGCATCTGAAGAAGACAGTGAAAGGCAGATGTAAGAAGTCATTTCTAATATATATTTTTTTTTTTATCTTGTCAACAGAATAACACCCGGAACTTATACTGAAAGCAAAATACGGGAGAGGGATAATCCGGCAAGCCCTTTTACCTCTACATCTCAATTTACTGTTCAGATTAGGTGACACAGAGATAAATCCCCTGTCTCTCTCTTCTTCCACTTGTGAGGAAGAGTCTGCCCTCAGAAAACTCAGATTAACCCCTTAGCTCACCAGGGAGCTGAATAATAGCACCAATGGCCTCTACTCATGCATCCTGCAAATCTGGTGGCAGGACTATCAGGAGAAGGGGATGATTCTCAGCGCCAAGGCCCATGCTAGGACACAGCACAGGGCCCAGCAAGCTGACAGCAACTTTTACAGTGGCTGTCAGACAACAGTAGCAGGACCCATTTTGCACAGCTCCCCTCACAGCATGACATCTAATGTCAAAAAACATCTGGCACTCTTGTCAATCTCCAGTCAGCCCAAGTTCGAGGCATGTGCTGAGCTATGGGCAACAAAAAGAATGGATGGAGCTCTGAGCCTGCTGGGATATTCAAGAGCATGAGATGAAGCAGGCAAAGTGCATCCCAGGATATCAGATTCAGCACTGGCATGGTGGAGACTGTAAATACTTTATGTTTTAATTGGCTAGCTAGTGGAGCAAATACCTCATCATAATGGGCACGTTGGTCTAAATCCAGTCAATATACCGTGTTCCTCTCTGAGAAAATGAGAGTGAGCACATTCAGTTCAAAGTGTGTGCAGCAGCCCTAGATGAAAAGCATCTGGGCATACTGCTTATAAAATAGCCCATGCATGGGGGCAAGTTCTGGCTGCCAGCAGGAAGCACCCAGAGCTCTGTCATTTGCTGAGCAAAGTGCTCAGAGGTGTGAACATCACAGAGCCAGCATTACAGGGAGCACTTCTCTGCAAGGGAAATAGCTCATTCCCCCTGAAGACCAAAGCAGTTCCTTCCTGGAGGTCACAGTGATGGACAAGGGAAGTGCGGGGCCCTTCACTGGCCTGGGCAAGCTGAGGAGGTCCAATAGTACCTGTAGGTTTCTGCTGAGACATCTGTTATGATGCAGAGACACTGCTGAGCCATCTGTTATGATGCAGAGACACATCATACTGCTCCTAGAAGATGGATTACCCCAAACAGGGGCAGCAACAGGAGGCAGTAGCTGCCCTCTCTTCTCTGGCTTGCAGCAGTGTGTCCTGCACCCATTTGATAGACATGCACCACTGCCTGCAGGCCAGCTCAAATTGGACTCCACAACACACCACATGGCTTTGTTTGAGGCAAGGCTAACACATTAGAGAAAAAGACTACAACATAACTAAAATATTCTGTTAGTTTTAATTAAGCTCATCACACTGGAAAACTTGCTGATTCCAGGGAAACATTTATAATTTGGATTCCTGACTCTTTTTTTTTTTTTTTTTAAGCTTAAAAACACCCAAATAACAAGCCAGCAAGTGGCTAAGTGATACTAATGAGCCCCCCCCGCCCCTCAAGTTCTCGCAGTAAGCTCAACAAGAGCCCATCTCAACACTGAATATTGGATATGGTTTCCATTTGGTCATGTAGGGCATCAAGACAACAAATTACCAGGACCGGAGACCTTTCAGAGCCATCCTCTGTTGCTGGACTTCCTTTCACAGAAATGATGTGTGAATTGCAAATGGGACAGAAAAAGCCTGTGAGACAGCAGCTCCAGACAAGATTTGTTTCTCACTGACTAACTGCGAGTTCAGCTTTTTTAAAGCCAGTTTATGTCTCTCTGCATATCATGCTGCTGTAGGAATTGCAAAGATAAGGAACATTTTCCCAGGCACACATTCATAACACAAAACAAAGACGAAGCACTAGGTACAGGAACGTAACAGAAAATGTAGGTCACGTTCAAAAATATTATCAGGAGTATGCAGAGTATGTCATTCCTCTACAATGAGTTTTGCTTTCATGAAAATTAATTAGGCACAGATTTCCAGTATTGCTTTTCAATTCTGTTGCCTCAGCTCTTTGGTGTCACATCTCAGACAGCTTGGCCCTGCTATTCATAAGCATTGATCACCTTCAGCACGATCACAGTGATTGGAAGCTGCCCACTGAAACAAAACTTTTGATGTCTCAAACTGCACATTCTGCCTCTTGTCTTGGATGAGAAAACAGGTGACTATTCCAGATATGCCTTTAATCTCCAGTGAAAGGGCCAACAGAAACACAACAATGATTCTCTGCTGGTAGTAATAATGAAGGGCAATCTCAGGAAGAGCCAAGGAAAACCACAGCAAACAGACCTATTTTTTTTTTCTTAAATTTACATACTAAGTGGATTTGACATAAAGAAACAATTTCACACATTACTTTCAGAGCAAAAGTTTCGTTTCATCCCCTGAAGTAGAATACTGATTACTCAAACCACATATTTTCCAATACATGGCCCAGCTACAGATCAGCTAAATGTTCACAGGCATCACTCCAACATCTCTCAATTTTCTTTCTCACTTCTCTCCCTGTCTGCTATTTCTGCCTTCAGGAATTTTAATAACTCTAGTATTGCTTCTAGTTTTTATCATCTATATTTGAAGATGTATTTATACAATGAGGGAGCATGTTTAGAACAAGGAGTTCTCAGAAGTTTACTATGAGAGACAAGATCACAGCAGATATGAGAGCGAATTCACAATATATTTTATGTCCATCTCAATTCCGTGGATGAAAAGTTGTAAAGGGAAGATGAGCCTCTTTTGCTTACATATATATTCTTTAGTCCAAGAGCTAGAGAAACTCGCAGCGTCTGGACATATGAGTATCACTGGAAAAGTAGTTTTCAAGACCAGGACGGAAGTAGAACATTTTGGTTTAAGAAATGAGGGGTCAGACATCTGTCCCAGATAAACACTAGGGGATGGGGATACAAAGTTCCTACAGTTCTGCATTAGTACCTCTAAAAGTCTCCTGTGCTGGACCTATCCAGCTACTACAGCTAAGTTGAGTCTCATCCAAATCCTACTGCCTTCTGTTTGATGAATATGGAAAATTTGACACCTCTCACATCGATATTTACACCGTGGAAACTAGTGACTACACAGGTAAGTAATTAATGGCCCTGAGGAGGCCAAATCACTGATTTTCTATCAGTTTTTTGAAGCTCTCAAAGAATAAACAGGGTGTGAGCAGAGCCTCTGAGCTTGGTGCTCAGGAAACCTCAGTTTATGTGCTGCACATGCAGAAAGGGAGTCCATCATAAAATAGTTTTTTTATTTTTGCCATATTTTCTCTAAAAACATAGGGTATACAATCATAAATGAAATCTTGCTATACCTCACTGTGCCAAGTGAGGCAAAAGCCCCAAAGCTCTCATAAAAATTAAACCAAGACAAACTGTGCTCCAAATCCCCAGAAAACAAGGAAAACATTGGAACAGAGAAACATAATCCACTTGTCTCCTTTGTTGCTGCAGCACCAGGTATTTATGTTCTGATGGAAACCGATGGTTCATAATGTCATAGATAACAACTCAGCAGCATGAATGGTAACCCAGAGCAACTACATCATTGTGTGTTACTGCATGATATTCCCTGTATTTCTGCATGTCCATGCTCCTCAAAGTTTAACAGTAATGATTTGAGTGCAGGATATATTGAATTAATATATATCCTTTCAAAACTCAAAACTATACCTTTCACTCGCCTTTACTTCACAAGAACTTAAAAACAGAAATATGGTCTTAAGGAGCTACCTTCTAAATAATCAGCTAAAATCCTGTTTTCTGAACAGAGACAGAGCTTTTTAGTGGGACTGCATTCAGATGTAAACACAGCCTCATATCACTCAAGCATCGTTTCAAAGCGCTCTCCACATACCCGTTACATCAGGCAGCTCTGTTCTGTAAGATAAAACACTCCCTGTTATTTCTTCCTCCTTTTCCTACAAAGGGATATTCTGGGGTTTGGACACAGATACAGTTGTTGATTCTGGAACAAAGTGTGAAAGACTGCAGCACATAACTTACCTCAAGCAATTGAGGCCATTGTTCATCCTGCCCCACCACGGATAAATGGAAGCACACGTTCCGTAAGTTTGCGGATATTTTATGTCTGCTGACTCCTTTGTCCCTTCAGAGCTATTTCAGCAAACTCAAACTAAAGACATTTCTCACTAAAAAGATTACACAGGCAAAGACACAGATAATGATACAGCTGCTCATCTGTTAGTGCTGCGGCAGTAGTCATTGCTCAGCTTTAGTCGTCATATTAAAATAATTCACTGCTAATTACTTAGGCATTAAGATCAGTATATCAACTCTACATTATCTAGCATGAAACCCATTGGCAGCTGGGCACTTGCTGTTTTGCAGCTGCGGCATGTCATTTATTAAGGAGCTTTGTCTTAGTGTTTGTTGAAATTTATGTTACTCTCTTGAACTTTTACTCTTTTAGGCAACTAATTGTTGATTTTACTTTTGTAGTATTTTTCATACAAATGGACCTCCCTGGACCTCATTTCATTTATTGCTACAGCACACCTGATGGAAGATTGGAAGCAGAAAGTTTCCAAGGATGGTACGTTCTCTTGGTGTGAACAAGGCCAGAGGAATTGCATGTGCATTTATTAACAACCCTGACTGTTAATAAATTTAATTTATTACATTTATTAACAACCCTGACTGTTAATAAATCCTGGCACTGGTTGTGGAATCAGACTGGAAAGACCTGGAGACAATGGTGTTCTTTGGAGAGGTTCCTTGCTCTGACTGAAGCAGTGAAGAAACCCAGTTAGGTACTGACCATAGGTGACAAGGTATGTGTCCAGAGAACTTTAACATCATAGATGGTAACCCAGCTGGAGCTGGGCAGTCATTAGTGTTCACTAATTAGTATTTCCCTGTCGGACAAGAAATGTATGAAATTAAAACTGGACAGCTTTTGGTTTAGTATCATAAATAGTTGTTTTTTGGAGTTTTGTTAGCAATTCATGACAATAAGGTTTCTGGCAATTCTAAGAAGGTATGTAAATAAACTAGTAAATTAAAAAAAAAATAGAACTGAAAAATTCATGCTTTCCAGCTGCTTAAAGAAATGCAGCTCTCACAATCCTTTCCCAGCAGATTACAGTAGACATCCTTTCCTGGCAGGCAGTATTGTTATATAATATGGCTGCCATCTAAAATCTTGGTGGGGGGCTAACTTAACTTTCCCTACATATTTCAGTTGGAATTCACCTGAAAATATATATATAGATATATCTGCAATTCTTTGCAGAGTAAAGCAAAAAGCCAATACTAATGCTGTAACATCAAATAACCTGAGTGAGGGCTGAAAGCTCAGCCCTAGTCCTTCACACTCTCCTTTTCCTCTTGGCAAGGGGGCCTTGGGCAAGTTGCATTTGCTCTGTGCAAAGCAGGAATAATTCTATATACTTACTTTGCACGAGGAAGTGGATAAAACTCAAGATGCATCATCTTAGGCAAGAAGAAATGTTTGAGGAAGCCAGCCAGGGTGGGAGGTGGGAGCAGACCTCTGCTCTGGGGTCATTTGTTTTTATCACGTGCTGGTAAGCAAAAAAGCATAGCTTGGCTGGTGCCTTCCAAGATCCCTGTAGGGTTTGTTCAATGGGACATCATAATCCACCCTTATGAATAACAAAAAGTAGCAGGAGTTCCACTCTTTTACCAGCTGGAAAAGATTGAGCAAGCTGCAGCATTGTTAGAAACCCCTCCCCTCAAGGCTTTGACACCCAGCATCATGAATGGCAAGTGTCAGACAGGCCTGCTGGGAAACAAGAGATCCCACAACAGGGAACCCAGCAGCATGGATGCTTGTTTTCTTTGGGGAAGCGTGTCCTAAGGAGCTGTATGGCTGCTAGGGAGGTAGCACCAATAATTTTTGCAATTTTAAATAAATTAATAAGACAGCACATCACCAAAACCCAGCTATTTTTAAGCCATTAAGTCACTCTTACTCTTCTGTGTGTGTGATGGAAAAATCTGGGTATAGGTGTGTTGTTTTAGCATGGCAAGCAGTTTATTTCAAAATTGCACCACTTTTAGTTCTATTTGTAAATCTTTATAAGATTTAT